AATTTTTGTAGGGAGATATCGATTATCCAATTATGCTCCGCCCCTTAGTGTGACAATGAATTAAAAATGAGATAGGGTGGGTGGGCGGGGCTTATATTTTGCGTGTTTTTTTAATAAATGTATTCTTCTTTTCACAACAAGAAAGTTAAATCATATCTAAAAAGGTAAATTTTTGTAGGGAAATATCGATTTTGCAATTATGCTCCGCCTTTTAGTGTGACAATGAATGAAAAATTCATCACAATTGAGATAGGGCGGGTGGGCGGGGCTTATATTTTGCCTGTTTATCTTAATAAACGTAGTCTTCCTTTCGCAACAAGAAAGTTAAATCATATTTAAAAAGGTAAATTTTTGTAGGGAAATATCAATTTTGCAATTATGCTCCGCCCCTTAGTGTGACAGTGCATGAAAAATTCATCACAATTGAGATAGGGCGGGTGGGCGGGGCTTATATTTTGCTTTTTTATCTTCATAAATATAGTCTTCTTTTCACAACAAGAAGATAAATCATATTTGAAAAGGTAAATTTTTGTAGGGAAATATCGATTTTGCAATTATGCTCCGCCCCTTGGTGTGACAATGAATGAAAATTTCATCACTATTGAGATAGGGCGGGTGGGTGGAGCTTATATTTGGTCTTTTTATCGTAATAAATGTAGTCTTCTTTTCACAACAAGAAAATTAAATCATATTTAAAAAGGTAAATTTTTGTAGGGAAATATCGATTTTGCAATTATGCTCCGCCCCTCGGTGTGACAATGAATAAAAAATTCATCACAATTGAGATTGGGCGGGGCTTATATTTTGCCTGTTTATCTTAATAAACGTAGTCTTCCTTTCGCAACAAGAAAGTTAAATCATATTTAAAAAGGTAAATTTTTGTAGGGAAATATCAGTTTTGCAATTATGCTCCGCCCCTTAGTGTGACAATGAACGAAAAATTCATCACAATTGAGATAGGGCGGGTGGGCGGGGCTTATATTTTGTCTTTTTATCTTAATAACTGTTGCCTCCTTTTCATAACAAGAAAGTTGAATCATATTTAAAAAGGTAAATTTTTGTAGGGAAATATCGATTTTGCAATTATGCTCCGCCCCTTAGTGTGACAATGAATGAAAAATTTATCACAACTGAGATAGGGCGGGTGGGCGGGGCTTATATTTTGCCTGTTTATTTTAATAAATGTAGTCTTCTTTTCACAATAAGGAAATTAAATAATATTTAAAAAGGTACATTTTTGTAGGGAAATATCGATTTTGCAATTATGCTCCGCCCCTCAGTGTGACAATGAATGAAAAATTCATCACGATTGAGATAGGGCGGGTGGGCGGGGCTTATATTTTGCCTGTTTATCTTAATAAATGTAGTCTTCTTTTCACAATAAGGAAATTAAATAATATGTAAAAAGGTAAATTTTTGTAGGGAAATATCGATCTTGCAATTATGCTCTGCCCCTCAGTGTGACAATGAATGAAAAATTCATCACAATTGAGATAGGGCGGGTGGGCGGGGTTTATATTTTGCCTGTTTGTCTTAATAAACGTAGTCTTCCTTTCGCAACAAGAAAGTTAAATCATATTTAAAAAGGTAAATTTTTGTAGGGAAATATCGATTTTGCAATCAAGCTCCGCCCCATAATTTCAGAATCCACATTTCCTTGTAAAAATGTACCTACCATAAGTTTCTTGTTGTGGAAAGATGGCTATGTATATTAAGAAAAAAAAAAAAATGCCAAAATATAAGCCCCGCCCACCCGCCCTATCTCTATTCGGGCGATTTTTTTTTATTCGTCGTAAACCGAGGGGTGGAGTTTAATCGTAAAATCTAAAAATGGAGAAGCCGAAAAATCAAAAAACCGAGACATCCAAAAATCAAAACATGAAAAGATTGAGAAGTCGGGAAGTCGAAATAGCCCATACGAAAAATTGAACAATCGAAAATTCGAAACGTCGAAATATCGATAAATCGGGAAATTGAAAAATCGAAAAACCAAAAATTTTTAAAACCGAAAAATTCAAAACTGAAAACTAAAACCGAGAAGTCCAAAAATCGAGAAATATAAACAACAAAAAACTGAAAAACGTAAAATTAAAAATATCAAAAAATTGAAAAGTGGTAAAATTGAAGAACTGAAAAATGGAGAAATCGAAAATGTTAAAGTCTGAAATATATATCGAAAAACTGAAGAATCGAAAATCAAACATTTAAAAAATCGAAAATTTTAAAAATCAGCAATTTAAGGATTCCCAAAATTGAGATGTTGAAAGATCGAGATATCGAAAACTTTTTTTATATTGTGATTTTATTTCTTAGTATACATAGTATTCTTTGAACAACACGATATTTAAACACATGATTTTAATTTCTTGTGAAGAAATAAGTATTTTGCAGTTAAAAAATCATCACAATTGAGATAGGGCGGGTGGGCGGGCTTACATTTTGGTTTTTTGTTTTAATATGTGTAGACTTCTTTTCCCAACATGAAACTTAAAACGTGTTTAAAACGGGAAATTTGTGTACCATTTCAACTCTGTTTTAAGTTTCTTGTTGTGAAAAGATGGCTATGTATATTAAGAAAAAAAAAGGCAAAAATGGTAAATTTTTGTGGGGAAAAAATCGATTTTGCAGTTATGCATTTTTGGTATACAAAATAGACACTCTTTTTGGAAAAGAAGACGATTGGGGATAGTTTCCACATTTTAGCGTTGTAGTTTCAAGGAATTGGTTCTAATTTTTTCGTAAAATTAATCAATAATATGGGTTTTTTTTTAAATTTCTTTTCTAGTTGACCATGACGCGAGTATAAATTTAAAAAATCACACTTATTGAAAAAAATTCTTATATTCCATATTTTTATAAATACAATTCCTGCGTTTTCTAGAACGTTACACCCTATATATTTTTCCAGATTTAGAGTGCGTACTAAAAATGTGGGAAACGACATCAGAGACGAAGGTTTTATGGTGAACAATTTTTAACGTATGTGCATTTGTTTGTTAAAAGAAAATCTTTCAAAATTCTTAATTCCGCCATTTTTAAAGATGGAGATCTGAAATGTAATCGTTTTGCCTGGACAAACTATAGAAAATTGAACCATATTTAATCCTACAGGATGATTTAAAATGGAATGGGGATAAATCAGTTTTGTTGCTTATTTTAGAAAAATATTACAGGTCGTTGGTAATCTTAACAACTTGTAAGTAATTAGTTCCAAATAAAAACAATAGCAGGTTCCTTGGGCAAAGATGCACAGTCATAGAAAAAATCTCGCTTCATTATATCTCGTGGGTAATAAAATCCGTTCCACCTATTTTATTCATCAACGCCAGTGAACTGTAATAAGCACTAAAAAAAGTCGTCGTGATTCGACTTAAGCCATTTATATTTTCCACCGCCAACTTGCAATACCGGAAAATCTCCAGTGTCACAGTCGCTACTCTGCAAATGTTGCAACAACAATCACGTTTTATGTCTTTATTTATTTCCCAGCACGTTAGATCTTTACTTGAGCCGTACTTAATTCTCTGATGGAAGTCCGATAATGTTGATGCCACGATTTGACTTTTATTCTCAAGGGACCAAACCACGAAGTTACGGATTAGTATTTTGTCCAATTTATTACGACTGAGTTTTCTTGTGCTTCAATCGCATATTAACAGTATTTTTAATAGCCCGAAAAGCTCCGAAGTCGAAAAAACTTCGCATCATGACTTATAAATAGAAAAACCCCCTTGAATGGATTAAAAATGCGCTGAGTCAGGTCAAAAAAAGGAATTATGAAGTTATTGAATTGTGGGTCGTTGAACCTCGTTTAATTCGTCAAGATTTTTTGTCAAGAAATTCATCATGTGTTTAATGTGAATAGGAGAGATTTGAGTTAACTTCATTTGCTAATTGTTATTTGTTAACCAGGTCGCTAACTAACAGTGCAAACTTATTTCAAACAACTCGCAACGAATATTTCATTTAACTTAGAAAGTTGGTTTGTTTACTTTCTAAAAATAATGTAAATAGTTTTCGAACTTTTCTCATTTTAAGTGTTCGATTCCACTTGCGGTGGAGCTTTTAGTATAAATTCGTAATGAGTGTCGCCGTTGACGAAAAATTTAAAAGTTACAGTCGCGGAAGCTTTTTTTCGTGGATTCGCAAGTCTTGGATTCCCCCATGTAGCAACCTGAACATAACTCGTGGCGTGCATTTGACCTATTTCGCGTCGAATTGCCGTTGTTTAACCGTCTGAGGTTTGTCATTGATTACTTTCGTCGTGCCGCTATATTTCTTTATCTTTACGACATTTTTAAGTCTCGGGTGTTTCTGCTCGCAAGTACGAGACGCAACAATTGCTAATTAAACGACTTATTAAGAAATTAATGAAAAACTAGACACTTGTAAGATAGGTTTGTACTTAACATGTGTTTCTCTTCATATTTTTTATATTTGGGGTGTAGAAGCATGCAGTTAAGAGTTTCATGCTAATTTGGGGCTCGTAAAAATATATATTTCCCAGAAACTGGGGAATGGCCTATGTCCTTTCACACGCCTACTAATGGCCTGCGATGCAGGGGTGCGGGTGGTCCAGTGACCTACACTTGAGCGAAACAAATCTGAGATTATCGCAGTCGCAGGCAAAAACAGAAACCACATGTGTGACCCAAAGAAAATAGACCAGATTGGGGTTGATTGGTTGACTGTGTTTCTGTTGAGAGGGTGTAACTAAAAAGGCCTGGATAAAGATTTCAGTTTTAAAACGGACGCGTACCGATTAAGACGAAAATTTAACAGTTCCGTGTTACGGTTGTTCAAAAAGTGTTGAGGTGAGTGTATCACTGAGTTATCGATCTTAGGGGTGATGTGAGTGAGATTTCACTAAGGTGTAATCTGCGTTGTTAATTGTTGTAAAAGCTAATTGGATTATCTACTGTAATTTGGTGAGTCCGTTCCTTGTTGTTATTGTTGTATTTGACATGATTATTGATAAATGGTACCGAGTCAGTTGTCAAATAATGTTAACATAATCCTGAGAGATATTGAAATAGTAAAAGTGATGAAATGAGCCTTGACATGTCGAGCTAATTTGATTAGGCTGTCCGCCTTCCTGTGATACCTTTATGCCTGTTGTTGCGGGCGAAGAGACCTGTTGTTGCGGGTTTATGCCTGTTGTTGCGGGCGAAGAAATACCTGTTGTTGCGGGTATGTGCCTGTTGTTGCGGGTACGGTGCGGACATCAATCCTGATGTCTGTGGTCAAAGGACTAGTATCAAAGTGGACACCTCGTGCGGTTATTCCCTTGGTGTCACTGCACCCTTTGGTACTAGACCTGGGATAGTAGCAGGAGCTGGGTGCGTCGCGCGGCCTTCCCCTTCGCCCCTTGTAGACTCCGTACTATACCCTACGACGGTATGAGAGTGAGCACTTCGTGCGGTTTTCCCTTAGTGCTCATTGTACACTCTGTACCGGACAGTATGGACCATGTGTGATTCCAACCATTAGGACAGAGCTCATTGATTGATGAAATAATTGTTAATTAAAGCAGTCATATTCTTGATAAAGTAGTACCAACCTTGTTGACTGATAATAGCTAAAATAACACGGACTCACTATTTAAAAAGTAATACCCGATTAGCAAATTCGCCACATCGACTTTAGGAATCGATGGCTCACATCCCCAATCACATTTTACAGGTTGCATAATTGTTGTTATGACCGATTCACCTCGACACCAGCCCTCCTGACCAGGCTGTAAATGTAATTAATCAGCTATCAACACTGACGACTTAAAAGTGAGTTTATAATTTATGTTATATTAAAATCTGACGTTTGATAATGTGGATAACTGGTAAAGAAATAATGTAACGCCCTCACAAACACAACACATCGAAAAAAAAAAATGTGTTCTTTTTGTTTAGAATTTTTCATCTCCTACATAATTTATCAGAAGTGGGATCTGACACTCATGTGTCCGAATGAATAGATCATTAGTTTAAATTGTCGTCGTCAGAGTGTAAAACAATTTTAATTTGAGTTGGCTAGGATCTGTTAATAAAGTATGTCAGACTTTCAATCTCCCAAAATTTGGGTAACAGGTGCTCGAGGTGAGTCACATTGAATGGGTAAAAATTGACTATTTATTTTATTTAGTAATAAATCAGAATGGGTCGCCCTCGTCGTCAACAGTCACGGGAATCTCCGTCCCCTCAAACGAGCGATCATTTTTCGCGCACCGAATCTCGCGAAACAACGAGCTCGATAGACAGGTTGACCGAAGTAATGACGACGTTCATTCAACAAGCGGGCAATAGGCGACCGTCTTATCTGACAAAGGGCGAAGTGGTGCCTTATTTTAATCCGGATGACCGAGAACAAAATGCCGAGTCCTGGTGTAACAAGGTCGACGAATTGAGCGAGATTTTTAAGTGGCCTGAAGACGCCACGATTTATTATGCATTATCGAAACTTCGCGGATTAGCCGAAACATGGTACAGGGGACAAACCACCCTGAAATCAACGTGGGGTGAGTGGAAAGAACGCATAAAAACTGCATTTCCCTCAAAACGCAATTTTTATGAGGACCTGGTGAACATGATGCGTCGTAGAAAGCGTCCGGAAGAGACGTATGATAAGTATTTCTACGAGAAAAACGCAATGTTGACGGGGTGTAAAATTGTCGGGTCCGATGCGGTGTCGTGTATAATTGGCGGCATTGACGACGTAGTCGCTAAGACAGGGGCAACAGCGGGTAATCACCAAACACCGGAGTCGCTATTTCAGTACTTATCGGCGATAAACGGCGTGTCTACGACACCACGACCGTCGACATCGAGAAACTATTCGCACCCCCATTCGTCAACATCAAAGAGCTATTCGCATCTTCATGAGAAACCGGAACGTTTTGGGTCAAGTACAAACGGAATGTCGGAGAGGTCGGCAGCTCATTGTTACCACTGTGGTAAGAACGGCCACTATTCCAAGTACTGTCCGAATCGGAGGGCACGTGACGCCGCTGATACAGTACGATGTACGTACTGTCGGGGAAGAGGTCACTTAGAGGCCAACTGTTTCCGTAAGGAAAATGACACGCAGGCAGACAAATCAATCTCATAAATAGCTTACACAAAATCCGATCCCCACAACTCCAAATTTTACAAAAAAAAAAAGTTCTCGTTAACGGCAAACTCGCAACGGCGTACATTGATGTGGGCAGAGATTTCAAGAAAAATTCGGTGAAAGGGAAAAAATCGAAGAACGTATTTCACATGGTAAAGGCAGACTGGGGGTTATCGGATCAACTGACAGATCAGAAAATTCAGCGCATCCACCAAACTTGTAATTCTCTGTGCAGTGAAATCAACAAAAACTAGAATTATTGTAGAGAATTTCAAAGACATATTCGCCGCTTACGGAATACCTAAAGTAATCATTTCGGATCAAGGTACCGCATTTACATCGAGTCAGTTTCACAGATTTTGTGAACAAAATCAGACCAGACATGTTAAAAAAAAAAACCGGACAATTTTATCGTCGTTACTAACATCCACAATAGAGGAAGATCGCTGGGATGAGTAGATTACACCTGTTCAATTTGCAATTAATAATGTGATAAATAAATCCACGAGCATAAGAGCAAGCCAACTGTTGTTGGGGTATTCGCCTCGAAACAGTACTGACATGACGCTCTGAGATGAAGTTTCGCAAATATCGTCGATCTTGACCGATCTTGTTACATCCAGACAAGAGGCTGCGGCAAAGATTGCTCAAAATCAAGAACAACAAAAGCGACATTTCGATAAACGACGAAAAAAAGGCGAGAAAATATAAAGAGGGTGATCTCGTACTAATCGCGAAGAACGTAACAACGACCGGGACAAGTCGGAAATTAATTCCACCCTACAGTGGACCCATGGTCGTGAAGTCGATCCTGCCAAACGACCGGTATGTGGTGCAGGGTATGGAGAAGTCACATCGGACAAGAAATAAAGCCGGCTACGACAGAGTCATCGCTGTCGATCGGATGAGACCCTGGTGCCCACCTGGAGGCATTTCCGACGCCACCGATAGCGAGAGTGGCGAGGACGGGGTGATTTTATCCGATGGCGACTCGAATTAAACACCACAACGGCAACTCGGGGCGAGTTGTTCGCAGGATGGCCGAGTTGTAAGATAGGTTTGTACTTAACATGTGTTTCTCTTCATATTTTTTATATTTGGGGTGTAGAAGCATGCAGTTAAGAGTTTCATGCTAATTTGGGGCTCGTAAAAATATATATTTCCCAGAAACTGGGGAATGGCCTATGTCCTTTCACACGCCTACTAATGGCCTGCGATGCAGGGGTGCGGGTGGTCCAGTGACCTACACTTGAGCGAAACAAATCTGAGATTATCGCAGTCGCAGGCAAAAACAGAAACCACATGTGTGACCCAAAGAAAATAGACCAGATTGGGGTTGATTGGTTGACTGTGTTTCTGTTGAGAGGGTGTAACTAAAAAGGCCTGGATAAAGATTTCAGTTTTAAAACGGACGCGTACCGATTAAGACGAAAATTTAACAGTTCCGTGTTACGGTTGTTCAAAAAGTGTTGAGGTGAGTGTATCACTGAGTTATCGATCTTAGGGGTGATGTGAGTGAGATTTCACTAAGGTGTAATCTGCGTTGTTAATTGTTGTAAAAGCTAATTGGATTATCTACTGTAATTTGGTGAGTCCGTTCCTTGTTGTTATTGTTGTATTTGACATGATTATTGATAAATGGTACCGAGTCAGTTGTCAAATAATGTTAACATAATCCTGAGAGATATTGAAATAGTAAAAGTGATGAAATGAGCCTTGACATGTCGAGCTAATTTGATTAGGCTGTCCGCCTTCCTGTGATACCTTTATGCCTGTTGTTGCGGGCGAAGAGACCTGTTGTTGCGGGTTTATGCCTGTTGTTGCGGGCGAAGAAATACCTGTTGTTGCGGGTATGTGCCTGTTGTTGCGGGTACGGTGCGGACATCAATCCTGATGTCTGTGGTCAAAGGACTAGTATCAAAGTGGACACCTCGTGCGGTTATTCCCTTGGTGTCACTGCACCCTTTGGTACTAGACCTGGGATAGTAGCAGGAGCTGGGTGCGTCGCGCGGCCTTCCCCTTCGCCCCTTGTAGACTCCGTACTATACCCTACGACGGTATGAGAGTGAGCACTTCGTGCGGTTTTCCCTTAGTGCTCATTGTACACTCTGTACCGGACAGTATGGACCATGTGTGATTCCAACCATTAGGACAGAGCTCATTGATTGATGAAATAATTGTTAATTAAAGCAGTCATATTCTTGATAAAGTAGTACCAACCTTGTTGACTGATAATAGCTAAAATAACACGGACTCACTATTTAAAAAGTAATACCCGATTAGCAAATTCGCCACATCGACTTTAGGAATCGATGGCTCACATCCCCAATCACATTTTACAGGTTGCATAATTGTTGTTATGACCGATTCACCTCGACACCAGCCCTCCTGACCAGGCTGTAAATGTAATTAATCAGCTATCAACACTGACGACTTAAAAGTGAGTTTATAATTTATGTTATATTAAAATCTGACGTTTGATAATGTGGATAACTGGTAAAGAAATAATGTAACGCCCTCACAAACACAACACATCGAAAAAAAAAAATGTGTTCTTTTTGTTTAGAATTTTTCATCTCCTACACACTTTTAAATGCGACTTTACGACCCAAAATAAGCGTCTATTTATGTATGGAGTTGTCACGTCACGAACACAATCAACCCTGATTTAAATCGATTGGATTGGATAAAGCCGGTCCCACTAACCTGCAAGACTGGACGACGAGACGTTTTAGTATTCTGCCGGGACCGTGTCGTCTTAATTCATTGAGTTTTTACGAGGACAGCTGATAATAAAATGTTTATTAAGTCTTTAACCGGCTAAGTAATGTACTTCTTGCGGCGCGTGATTAAAAGTCAGCAATTAACCGAGGGTGATTTAGGTAGAAAGGTTGCTTTTTTTCTCCAAGGCAAGGAAAAATTTATGTCACGATCCGCCGCAACACCGGCGTTATCAACGATGATTTGCCGAATCAGTATCACCGTTATTTATCTTTTTTATGTTGACGATGTGCTTCATATGGCTTATTGTACTTTCGTTCGAAGGATATTGGCGATGATTTTATGTAGGAAGTGACTGTTGAACGATAAAATGATTCGCAGTTTTAATTAATTGACGATAACTTTCAAGATCGTGCGATTAAACTGAGCGTTTCCTTTATTATTTTCATGGATTTTTAACATTTTTGAATCTCGAGACTCAAGAAAAATCAATTTTGTGGCGTTTGAATACAACACGTGAATGAATCCGTATTCGGATTTTTCGCATGTGTGGACTACTTAATTAAAATTTTCAAATTATAGCAAAGTCGAAGCTTCATACGAACAATAACGTTTTTCACGTTCTAGTAATTCTGTTAAACGTTACGTATTTGGTCCGGTCCAGACAGGTTGCTATGGAAGCATTTTTTTCCACTTGCCAGCGTTTTTGTTTATTAAGGAAACGCCCACTTAAAAATACTCACAATAAAGTCTTTAAATTATTGACAAACGGATCGGTTGTCTTCTTTAAAATTCTAAAAAGACGTCGTAAATTCTCGGTAACGATTTTTCCGTTGTTTTATGTTTGGAGACGTCGTTTATTATATCTAGAGAATTGATAGAGAAAATGTTTAAATATTTCACAAATTAAGTGTCAGCGCCTGCTCGAAGATATTGTAGGCGAATTAATTAAAGAAGAATGTTCAAACTTGGAATTTATGCGATGGTATCACGAGCGTGAGCGATGGAAAAAATTTTGGGTCAGAGTTGATTCTGATTGGCGAGCTATATTGGCCTTCACGATTTTTCGGTGTCAACAAAAAGCATTAAATTATTTTTAGTTGGGTATTTTGAAATTAGGTCAATCAAATGATTTTCTTGAAGTCTGTTGTCATTTATCCTGAGGTTGATATTATATTTCTATAAAAACTCAATCGAATTTAAAATTTCACGAATTAATTAGATTTAATAATTTTATTGGAATGCAAAAATATTTAGTTTGCTTAAAGTTCTCTTCTCTTTTTTTTTCTTAACATACATACATACTTTTTTTTTAACAACAGCATACTTAAAAACATGTGTCACATGGTAGTTTCTTGTTGAGAAATAAGCGTTTTGCAATTAAGCTCCGCCCATCGGCTAAACGACGAATAAGAAAATTCATCACAATTGAGATGAATGGTGGGCGGGGTTTGTATTTTTTTTCTTATATGTAAGTAATTTTTTATTCAAGACAAGAAACTAAAAACTTGTGTAAAATGGCCAATTTGTAAAGAAGTGTGCGAGATAAAATTTACCATTTTAAACATATTTTTAGCCTTTGGTTCTGAAGAAAATGTATATTAAGATGAAAAAAAAAAAAACAAATTATAAGCCCCGCCCACCCACCCTGTCTCAGTTTGGGACCATTTTTCTGCATTGTTCGTGTTCGTGAGCAAGGAGGCGGAGCTAACTCGAATGAACAGTTCATCACAATTGAGGTTGTGGGGGCGAGTGGGGCTTATTTTTATTTTTTCCCTTTTCATATATACTTTCTTTCAACAACATCATAGTTAAAAACATGTATCACATGGTAGTTTTTTGTTGAGAAATAAGCGTTTTGCAATTAAGCTCCGCCTCTCGGCTAAACAACGAATAAGAAAATTCATCACAATTGAGATGAGGGCGGGTGGGCGGGGTTTCTATTCTGCCTTGTTTTCTTGTATGTACGCAGTTGTTTATTCACGACAAGAAACTGAAAACTTGTTTAAGATGGTAAATTTGTAGAGAAGCGTGGGAGATAAAATTTACCATTTAAATAATATGTTTTTAGCTTTTTGTTGTGAAGAATATGTATATTAAGATGAAAATAAAATCAAATTATAGGCCCCGCCCACCCACCCTGTCTCAGTTTGGACGATTTTTCTTCATTGTTCGTGTTCGTGAACAAGGAGGCGGAGTTGACAAGGAATGAACGATTGAGATTGTGGGGGGCGGGTGGGGCTTATTTTTTTTTTTAACCAATATACTGTTTTTTCAACATCATACTTAAAAACATGTATCACATGGTAGTTTCTTGTTGAGAAATACGCATTTTGCAATTAAACACCGCCCCTCGGCTAAACGACGAATAAGAAAATTCATCACGATTGAGATGAGGGCGGGTGGGCGGGGTTTCAATTTTTCTGTTTTTTCTTATATGTACGCAGTTTTTTATTCACGACAAGAAACTGAAAACTTGTTTATAAATGGTAAATTTGTAAAGAAGTGTGGGAGACAAAATTTACCATTTTAAACATGTTTTTAGTCTTTTGTTGTGAAGAATATGTATATGTATTAAGATGAATAAACACAAATTATAAGCCCCGCCCACCCACCCTGTCTCAGTTGGGACGATTTTTCTGCATTGTTCGTGTTCGTGAGGAAGGAGGCGGAGCAAACTCGAATGAACAATTCATCACAATTGAGGTTGTGGGGGGCGGGTGGGGCTTATTTTATTTATTTTTTTTTTCTTAACATATATACTTTCTTTCAACAACATCATACTTAAAAACACGTATCACATGGTAGTTTCTTGTTGAGAAATAAGCATTTTGCAATTAAGCTCCGCCCCTCGGCTAAACGACGAATAAGAAAATTCATCACAATTGAGGTGTGGGCGGGGGTTTCTATTTAGCTTTTGTTTTCTTATATGTACGCAGTTTTTTCTTCACAAGAAACTGAAAACTCGTTTAAAATGGCCAATTTGTAAAGAAGTGGGGGAGATAAAATTTACCATTTTAAACATGTTTTTAGCCTTTTGTTGTGAAAAATATGTATATTAACATGAAAAAAAACACTAAATTATAAGCCCCGCCCACCCACCCTGTCTCAGTTTGGGACCATTTTTCTGCATTGTTCGTGTTCGTGAGCAAGGAGGCGGAGCTGACAACGAATGAACAATTCATCACAATTGAGGTTGTGGGGGCGGGTGGGGCTTATTTTTATTTTTTCCCTTAACATATATACTTTCTTTCAACAACATCATACCTAAAAACATGTATCACATGGTAGTTTCTTGTTGAGAAATACGCATTTTGCAATTAAGCTCCGCCCCTCGGCTAAACGACGAATAAGAAAATTCATCACAATTGAGATGTGGACGGGTGGGCGGGGTTTCTATTTTGCTGTTTATTTCTTATATGTACGCAGTTTTTTATTCACGACATGAAACTGAAAACTTGTTTATAAATGGTAAATTTGTAAAGAAGCGTGGGAGATAAAATTTACCATTTTAAACATGTTTTTAGCCTTTTGTTGTGAAGAATATGTATATGTATTAAGATGAATAAAATCAAATTATAAGCCCCGCCCACCCACCCTGTCTCAGTTGGGACGATTTTTCTGCATTGTTCGTGTTCGTGAGCAAGGAGGCGGAGCTAACAACGAATGAACAATTCATCACAATTGAGGTTGTGGGGGGCGGGTGGGGCTTATTTTTGTTTATTTTTTTTTTCTTTACATATATACTTTGTTTTCAACATCATACTTAAAAACATGTATCACATGGTAGTTTCTTGTTGAGAAATAAGCATTTTGCAATTAAGCTCCGCCCCTCGGCTAAACGACGAATAAGAAAATTCATCACAATTGAGACGAGGGAGGGTGGGCGGACTTTGTATTTTGCCTTTTTTTCTTATATGTACGCAGTTTTTTATTCACGAGAAGAAACTGAAAACTCGTTTAAAATGGTAAATTTGTAGAGATAAAATTTACCATTTAAATATTTTTCAGTCTTTTGTTGTAAAGAGTATGTATATTTAAGAAGAAAAAACAAAGTCAAATCATAAGCTCTCATTCTTCCACAAAAATATGTTTCCCTTAGAAAAGAAACTTGAAACTTTAAAGCTACGTATATGATTTGAATTCATGTATATACAGGGTGAGTCACTAGATATTTCATCAATTATTACAAATAGAAAAACAAAGATCAAATTGGAGAACTACTGAAATTGCATATTTTTCCAGAATGTTTTTACTGCGTAACACACAACTTAGTTTTTTTTAATGAAACACCCGATATATTTTGAAATTCCGAGGCGACGTTGCCACGCTATTCCAATTTTTTGAAACTTTTTGGCAATGAAAGAGTTTACAAAAAAGTCGCAAAAGAGTTATTTTGAAATATGTCTACAATATTTTACGAAAGAATAAATAAAAGTACCCGCTAAACTAAATTTTAATATACAGAGTGTTTATAAAACAATCTAAAACATCACAATTTTCAAATATCGATATTCAAGTTTTTTCAGGTGAACCATCCTGTATTTTATTACTGTTATCTTATTCTATTTTTTGTCCTCATTTTTTTAATGTCGATGTGTTTCTTAAAAAACTAAAAAATCGCAGTAGTTATCTACTTTAAATATAGTAAATACTAAACAAAAAAGAAAGAGAACAAAAAAAAAGAATAAGATGCAGTATTAAAATATAGGTGTTGTATTTGAATAAACTTAAATATATATATTTGAAAATTGTAATAATCAAAACATTTTTATAAACACTCTGTGTATGAAAGTAACGTGACAACGTCGCATCGTAATTTCAAGAATTAATTGTATTTATGAAACCTAAAAGAGGTCTATCGAAATATGTAAAAATATGAGAGATGAAAAAATCATGTATTTGGTCGATAGTACGTTATTAAGAAGACTCCAGATAATTCGAAAAATATGTTTAAAAAACTCTCTGGACCAAATTTTTGGAGGTATTAAATTTCAAAATTGTAGAATAAACTTGGTAATTCTGTGAATTTATTTTAAAATCTTAAATTATGATAAAAATAGTCAAAAGTGACTTCTATCAATAGCAAAAAATGACGTGAATCGTATTCTAGCAAATTATTAAATTACATATTAATAACTAATTGTTTTTTGACGTTCAATATTTTTAAGATTTTTTTAACCATATTTTTTCAAAGCATTCTTAACAACGTACCATCGATCACATATGTTATTTTTATCACCCTGTATAAGGTGTTTCATTAAAAAAAAAACTAAGTTGTGTTACGCCTTAAAAACAGGACACTGTATAGTTAAAAATAATTTTAGAGACATGGAGGATCGCGCGATTACTTACTCACCCTGTATATACATTTATTATAAACAGCATGTGAATAGTGTTTAGCATTTTTTACTTCCCCCGCGTAATCTAAAAAAAATCCGTAATGAGGTTTATCTAGCGAAAGCCTACTTTCATGTTTTCTCGACGTTTCAAGACTTTTAGAGTAAGTAAAAATAGTTCCCCCGTTTCAGTCTGTCTGTGTAGATGGCAAATGCTATTTAAATTTTATAAAAAGCGTACTGAGTTTTTATCCAAATTTTCGCAAAAAATCAAGCGCTCGAGGTTTCGTCATTCGGCACGTGCTATTAACACCAAGGTCAAGAGTTCGATTCCTTCAGGAGCCACTTTTTTTCTTAAACTGTGACTGGTATCCCTTACATATTTTTAACTTATAAAAGCTATCGTAAAATAAATCAAATTTAGCAAAATACGACTTTTTAGTGTGTAATTTTTTAGAAACCAGCGAAGTTGAAGTGTGATAAAAACAGCTTAAAAATAATATAGGACCTGCAAAAAATTACGTCCTGTGTTTGAAGGAAAGTTTCTTTGTCCTCGGATAATTATTACCCTCGGCTTCGCCTCGGACATTAAACTTCCATCTGTGAGAGGACAAAGTATACTTTTTTTATGTATACATAACTTTCCTTGTGTAACATTTGTCGCAGCAAGTTTTATAAGGGTCTTTTATTACTAGCCAACAAATTACTTGTTTGCGAAGTTTTTTTTGCTACCTTCGAGCGTAAATTTAAGACAAGTGTGTCATTGGGTTATTTTAACAAATGTCCAGTTTCATGTTTTTTCGACGTCACTTTGTCGTGTCCCTGTTTCTGTCAACTGGGGGTTTTATAAAACAAAAATAAAAAAAAATCCAAAACTACCGAACTGATTGCTTTGGAAATTAATAATATAATGAATTAATAAAACACGTTTCTTGGTGTTGGAGATTCATCAAGAGCATTCGCTTCTGAGACACGACAACACCGCAGAATTTTAATTTAGAGGAGAATGTAAAGTTAGATAAGTTTTATGTCAGTGTTGTCAAACACCTGTCAAAGTTATAAAAGTTGTAACGTAATCTCATATTTTATAACGCAGGCGAGAAAACAAGTTTCTTGCGATTTTCGCGAACGCTTATAATGCTCCCGACGTAAATCAGCAGTTATGAATCTTTAAACAATCATAATAATTATTTTGTACCGAAAATATACAGAGTTAGGTGGTCTAGATATAGAATCAGGTGTTCAATTGGTCTAATTTTGGCCCAAAACTGGCTATAGAATGCTAATTTCGTGGTGAGGAATAATAAAACGGTTAAAAACGTCATGAATATTTAAATAATTTTCGAAATGAAAGTAAACAGTCGGCGATAAGAATTTGTTTGGTCGACTGTACAAAACAAGCAAATACGGTCGCTTTGCGGATGATTAGAACGTCGCGGTTCCTTTAATATATATTTTATTACCATACAATTAATTTTTATTGTTAAAATATCAGATGATTTCGTAATTAGTGATAAAAGCGCCCCATAAACTTATAAAATATTGTTAATAAATAGAGTTGTTCAACGATTCCATTAAATTTAGTGTCCATTAAAACCGCACTGTATCATTCGAACATAAATTAGCCGTAATTGAAATATCATCCAAATTTATTTGCATAAATGTAGTAATTTCACGGGATTTATTATTTGTTTGTTGTAATTCGTGCTCCTAAATCAAATTTTGAAGCGACCAATTACGGGTAATTTACGATGGTTTAAATTGTGTTTCGGGCCGGCTTTGACGTCGCATGCACCGTATATTTTTTATTTTTGGACTTTTCTGATTCGTGGATCGTCTTTTTCAGATCTCTGCCCGTTCCCAGGCGGCATACACCCTATTTCGGTCAGCCTGACTACCGGATATACGAACTCAACAAGAGGCTACAGCAAAGGACGGAGGTTAGTTTGAATGTAATGCTATCGCGATGGAGCAGTTTTTTTCCTATTAATAACGTTTCGAAATCGTAGGAAAGTGATAATCTTTGGTGGGACGCGTTTGCGACGGAGTTTTTCGAAGACGACGCCTCATTAACGCTAGCTTTCTGTCTGGAGGATGGCCCTAAGAGATACAGTGCGTTGGGGACGAGGTGACGTTGTGGTTGGATTTAAAAATGTTTTTTTGTAGCGATCGGGAGGACGTTAATTCCTAGGTACTTTAGGAGTATATTTGAAGGTGGAGTGACGGAACTGTACTATAATATGAAGCATCCGAAAGAGTCCTTCCACAACACTAGTATTACGCTAGACTGTGATCAATGCACTATGATTACGCATCATGGTAAACCCTTATTTACAAAGGTAAGGAGTGTGTGGGGGCGGTGCGCGAATGACCATTCGAACGAGGTGAGAAGTGGCGGCTTTCCAGAGCGCTTTCAACATAGTGTAGGGTTAGTCATTTTTAATGGACGAGGCATTTATTTGTTCTGATAAGGTCGACAATATTTTTATCTGTTGATATAACAAAAAATGTTTCAAAAGAACGACGCGTTGCCGAAATAATAATTTTTTTAACAGCAGTTTTGGATACCGATTTTGTATTTAAATTTACATGGAATGAGGAGGAATTATTGGTATTATTATTTTTTACAATGATTTTGTGACCTGTAGGTAAACAGGTGCAGACTGAAATTCATTAGAATGTTTATTTTAATTAAATTAAATTAATAATAATATAAATATTAATTCTGAAGTTTTAAAAAAAATCAGAGATATAGATTTTAACGAACTTTTATGATTTTAGAAATATTCGTTTTCAAAAACCACTTGTTTTTATTTAAAAAAAAATTAATTTTGAAAAAATATATATGTTTAATCCAAAAAATGGCAATATTCCAAATGGCGATTCGTTGGTAGTTGTTATAGAAGAAATGAGACCAAAATTAACTTCTGTAGGTCGAAATCGATAAGAAAATGTCTGGGTTAAGTTTCAAAAATGGTCGAAAATTAGCCAAAGTTTTGATTTTGAAAAATCATACTTCTGAAAAAATTCAGAGATTAGATTTCGGCGTGCTGATTCCAAAAATGTAGCGCATTCGTTGTTTGGATGTAGGATTTTTTTAAATCCAAAAATTGCAATAATCCAATGGACGATTGTGTAAAATTTGTAGGAATTTTCGAAGAAATGGGGCCGAAATCAACTTTTGTAGGTCGAAATCTATAAGAAAATGTGTTTGGTTAAGTTTCGAAAATGGTATTTAAAAAATTTCGGATTAAAAAATTTTTCAAAAAATTTCAAAAAAATTTAAAGATATAAATTTAGACGAGGTGATTCCTAAAATATAGCGTTTGAAAATTATACATTTTTTTTTAATCCAAAAAAATTGCCAATATTTGGACCAAAATTAACTTCTGAAGTCGAAGTGTATATGAAAACGTCTTTGATTAAGTTCCGAAAATCGTCGAAAATTTAAAATTACAGCGTCTTCATGGTCTCAAAGCAAGATTTTTGAAATATTTGGCTTAAAATTCAATTTTTTAATAATTCCAAAAACTGCAATATTCCAATGGATGATTCTGAAAAAATAGTAGGAGTTATGAAAGAAATGAAGCCAAAATTAACTTCTGTAAGTCGAAAGTGGTCGAAAATTTGCGAGAATTTTGATTTTGGAAAATCTTACTTTTTAAAAAATTGTAAAAAATAGATTTCGACGTGCTGAATCCAAAAATGTAGCTCACTCAATGTTTCAATCTAAGATTTAAAAATTTTTTTGCAATATGCCGATGGACGATTCTGGAAAAATTGTAGAAATTTTCGAAGAAATGGGACCGAAATCAACTTCTATGGGTCAAAACCTATAAAAAATATCTTTGGTTAAGTTTCAAAAATGGTCAAAAATTAACCGAAATTTTCAAAGTATTAAAAAAAAAATTGTTCCAATATTTGTCAAAAAAGTTCAAAATATTGAAAGATATAATTTCAACGAGGTAATTCCAGAAATATAGCGTGTTCATGATCTCGGGGCAAAAGTTTGTAAATACTCGGTTTGAATTTTTTTTTAATCCAAAAATCTCGATATTCGAATGAGCGATTTTGGAAAAATGGTAGAAGTTCTTGAAAAAATAACTCCAAAACTAACTTCTGAAGTCGAAGTGTATAAGAAAACGTCTTTGGTTAAGTTCCGAAAATCGTCGCAAATTTAAGATTACAAAGTCTTCATGGTCTCAGAGCAAGATTTTGGAAATATTTGGCTTAAAATTGAACTTTGCTGGAAAATTGATAGAAGTTATCGAAGAAATGAGGCCTAAATTTACTTCGGTGGGTCGAAATCGATCAGAAAATGTCTTGGTTAAGTTCCGAAAATATCCAAAATTGGCCAGAGTTTTGATTTTGGAAAATCTTACTTTTTAAAAATTCTAAAAAATAGATTTCGACGTGCTGAATCCAAAAATGTGGCTCATTCAATGTTTCAATGTAAGATTTAAAAATATTTGGCTTTTTTTTTTCTTTTTCTTTTTTTTTATCCAAAAAATTGCAATATGCCAATGGACGACGATTCTGGAAAAATTGTAGAAATTTTCGAAGAAATGGGACCGAAATCAACTTCTATGGGCCGAAACCTATACAAAAATATCTTTTGTTAAGTTTCAAAAATGGTCAAAAATTAGCCGAAATTTTCAAAGTATTAAAAAAAATTCTTCCAAAGATTTGTCAAAAAAATCCAAAATATTGAAAGGTATAATTTCAACGAGGTAATTCCAGAAATATAGCGTGTTCATGATCTCGGGGCAAAATTTTGTAAATACTCGGTTTGAATTTTTTTTTTAATCCAAAAAATCTCAATATTCGAATGAGCGATTTTGGAAAAATGGTAGAAGTTGTTGAAAAAATTACTCCAAAACTAACTTCTGAAGTCGAAATGTATAAGGAAACGTCTTTGAAGTTCCAAAAATCGTCGAAAATTTAAAATTATAAAGTCTTCGTGGTCTCAGAGCAAGATTTTGGAAATATTTGGCTTAAAATTCAATTTTCCTGGAAAACAGAAAATCAGAAAATGTATTGGTTAAGTTTAAAAATTTGCCAAAATTTTTATTTTGAAAAATCTTACTTTTGAAAAAGTTCTAAAAAAATTCGGGGGCATAGATTTCGACGTGCTGATTTAAAAAATGTAGGTATTCATGGTTGCGATGTAAGATTTTACAATATTTGGCTTAAAATTCAATTTTTTTAAAAATCCAAAAAATTGCGATACTCCAATGGAAAAATTATAGGAATTTCCGAAGAAATGGGGCTGAAATCAACTTCTGTTGGTCGAAACCAATAAGAAAATGTTTGGTTAAGTTTCAAAAATAGTCGAAAATTTGTCGAAATTTTCAAAGGAATTAAATAATGTTCCTTTTAAAAAACTGTCAAAAAAATTCAAAAATGGTCGAAAAATGGTATTTAAAAAATTGCCTTTAAAAAATTCGTCAACAAATTCCAAAAAAGTTGAACGATAAATTGCAACGAGGTGATTTCAAAAATATTCTTGGTTGTTCTTTGTCTTAGAGGAAATTTTTGTAAATACTCGGTTTGAAAATTGTTAAGAATTAGTCCAAAATTAACTTCTGAAGTCAGTCAAAGAAAATGTGTTTGATTAAATTTCGAAAATGATCAAAAATTTTCATAGGGGAATTGAAAAATTTCCTTTTAAAAAAGTTGTCAAAGAATTAAGGGACATAGGTTTCGATGTGGTGATTCCAAAAAATATAGCGTATTCATAGCTTCGGAGTAGAATTTGAGAAATATTCGGTTTATTTTATTTTTTTATCCAAAAATTTTCATACCCCAATCCTGTTTTTGTAAAAATGGTGGGTATTATCGAAGAAATAATACCGAAATTAACTTCTATAGCTCGAAATCGATAAAAAAATATCTTGGTAAAGTTTCCAAAAACGTCGAAAATTGGCCGAAATTTTGATTTTGAAAAACCTTGCTTTTGAAAAAGATCTAAAAAAAAAATCGGAGGTATAGATTTCGACGTGTTGAAAAATTGTAGGAATTTTCGAAGAAATCAATTTGTGTTGGTCAATAAGAAAATGTGTTTGGTTAAGTTTTAAAAATAGTCGAAAAATGGTATTTAAAAAATGGTATTTAAAAAAATTTGTCAAAAAGATTCCAAAAAAAGTTAAAAGATATAAATTTAAACGAGATGATTTCAAAATTATTCTTGGTTTATTCTTGCTTTTGTAAACACTCGGTTTGAAAATTGTTAAGAAATTAGTGCAAAATTAACTTCTGAAGTCGGAGTCAAAAAAAATGGTCAACAATTTTCATAGGGGAATTGAAAAATGTTTCTTTTAAAAAGTTGCCAAAAAATTCAGGGGCATCGGTTTCGACGTGGTGATTCCAAAAATATAGCGTGTTCATGGCCTTGGACCAAAAATTTAGAAATATTTGGTTTCAAATTTTTTTTTTTTTTTTTTTTATTTTAAATCCAAAAAACTGCACATTACTACGGACTATTCTCAAAAAAGGTGGAGTTGTCGAAGAAATGTGGCCGATATTGACTTCTATAGATCCAAATGGACAAAAAAATGGCGAAATTTTGATTTTAAAAAATCTCGCTTTTGAAAAAGTTGTCAAAAAAATCCAAAAAATTCGGGGATATAGATTTCGACGTGCTGTTTCCAAAAATATAGCGTATTCAGAGCTTCGGAGTAAGATTTTAGAAATATTCTGTTTAAAATTCTTTTTTTTTTTTTTTTTATCCAAAAATTTTCAATACCCAATGCATGATTCTGTAAAAATGGTGGGAGTTATAGAAGAAATAATGCCGAAATTAACTCTAGATCGAAATCGATAAAAAAATACCTCTGTTAAGTTTGGAAAATCGGCGAAAATTTTCAGAGATGAATTCATGTTCCTTTTAAAAAACCTCGTCAAAAAATTCCAAAAAAAAATGAAAAACAAATTTCAACGAAGTGATTCCAAAAATATAGCGTGTTCATGGTCTCTGGGCAAAATTTTGTAATTACTCGGTTTGAAAAAATGTTTATTTATTTATTTATTTTAATAAAAAAAGTAAATATTTCAAAGTTCGATCTTGGAAAAATGATAGTAATTATCGAAGAAATTAGGCCAAAATTAACTCCTGAAATCTATAAGAAAATGTTTGATTTAGTTTCGAAAGTGGTCAAAAAATTTCATTGGGATTGAAAAATTTGGGTTTTAAAAAGTGTTCATCTTATTGGATCAAGATTTTACACATACTCGGTTTAAAATTAATATTTTTTAAAAATCCTAATAATTGCACATCACAATGGACGAAATTCATTACAAAAAGTCGCAAATATGTCAAAATTTTTATTTTAAAAAATCTCGCTTTTGAAAAAATTGTCAAAAAATTTCCAAAAAATTCAAGGATGTAGATTTCGACGTGCTGATTCCAAAAATGTTACGTATTCATGGCTTCGCAGTAAGAAGTCAGACATATTTGATGTCAAATTTAATTTTTTTAAGACTCCAAAAAATTGCAACACTCGAATGAAATTAACTTTCCTAAGTCGGATTTGATAAAAAAATATTTTGGTTTCGAAAATGGTCGAAAATTCGCCGAATTTGATTTTAAAAAATTTGCTTCTAAAAAAATTGTCAAAAAATTACCAAATATAAATTAAAACATAATAATTTTTTAATAATGAAAAAATACAGTTTAATCCTTTTTTTGAAGCCATTAGACACATTCGAGAAATAATAAAGTAAAACAGCAGTTGGTTTTTTCCTGATCGCTTTTATACCCTATTGATTCATATGGAGCAGTAGCCGTAATTACAATCTAGCCAAGGTTAATCCATTTATTCTAAACTAAACAAACAGTTTTTTAATACAATATGGAAACTATTTATGGAATAAATTCGATAAAACGAACATTTTTGGAAAAAAAAAACATTATAAATAAATGAGATCAGTAATTTTTCTGGCACTGCGTATATCTATTTGACGTCAGTAGCTTTTGCTTATGACGTTAGAAAAACAAAATTCGGGAAAATTATTGATTGTTGGACCATTTTTGTGGTCCATGTTGTTACTTATTTAATAAAATTAGCTTTCCCAAGAGAGAAAAATTTACGTGGACGGATATCACTCGATCGAAAACGTTCTGACTTACAGTTGGCTTCGTTTAACGTAATTTCACACTATTGATTATTATCATACAGCGATATTATGTTATATTTTTTTTTATAGAACCAATCAATCTCAGATTAAGCCAAACCATCGACATATAAAATAAATATACATACAAAATGGATAACTTCTCAATCGTCGACAAATCTTGATAATTCAGTAAAAGAATTCATTTTCCGAGCGCAGATAAAATATATCAAAACATAAAATGTCTAGAGTTTTGAATTATCCCTTGACCTATAGGTTCGCAGAACGCAAAAATAAAATATTGATGTTTTATATTTGTCATTCACTTAAAAAAAAAACAACTGGTCGTTCAAAGGAAGTTGTATTAGCGACTAGGCAAAAAATGTTTGTATGCTTAATGGAATTTCTTTTACGTACAAAACTGAATGAAATATACGGCTTCGACAAAAAACTTTCTCAAGGGACTAACCTGCACATAGAGAGATTCCATTTTAAGTGAGTACCAAGCACACTCAATTATTATTATTTTTTTAGATAATTATTTTTAGTTTTTTAATTATTTTAAAATAACCTTAAATACATCACTTTCTCATTATATGAGTACGAGCTTGTTCAATAAAAACGAACATCGATTAACAAGAAACATCGAATCGTTCTCCCAGAACGAACGGTTCATTTACACAAACCCTGACCTATACCAATCCCTGAATTATAGAAAACTCTTCTGAATAAAAAATGATCCATTAGCTTGTTTTAATGTCTCAAACGAACTATTTACTTTTAAAAAAGCAATCTTCGGTTCGTACGGTTAACGCGAACTCAAATTAAACAGTTAAATATTTGTGAGGGAGTTAAGTGTACACTAGATAATGATTTAACAGTTCAGAACACCGTTGTTATTAATTACGAAATCGCAGACAGCGGTTTCCTTTTAAAGACGACACCTGACTCATCGTAGCGTTTCCCGTTCCAGGTATGTACAGAAGGTCGTTTAATCCTAGAATTTACCTTTGATGACCTGATGAGGATAAAATCGTGGCACTTCGCGGTGCGGACGCACCGGGAGCTGATTCCTCGATCGGTGGTAGGAATGCATTCACAGCAAGACCCCAGCATGCTGGAGCAACTGTCGAAGAACATCACGAGGCAAGGAATCACGAATTCCACCCTCAACTATCTTAGGGTAGGTAATCGGACGTATTTAAAACGTCGCCGTTTTGATTGACCGTTTTTCAACAAATTCCTTTTCAGTTATGTGTGATACTTGAACCTATGCAGGAGCTAATGTCTAGGCATAAAGCTTATGCACTGAGTCCAAGGGACTGTTTAAAGACGACACTTTTCCAAAAGTGGCAGAGGATGGTTGCCCCGCCGGGTAAGAGAGGTACCAATTTCTTTGCACTAGAGGCTTGTTCATTTCTGCTACGCTGTCCACGTCGAAGGGGCCTCCCAGTTTCGGGGCTTTCAGTATAGCACAAATGAATGAACTCTACAGGAGTAACATGCGCACTGTTTTCGACCGAACGCGGTTCGGCGAGGCGATCGGACTGATTGTGTTTTGTTTTTAAGAATCTCAACGACCTGCCAACAAGCGGCGGAAACGTAAGGGTTCGAACTCTGGAGGAGCAGCTAACAATGCGACGCCAGCACCCAACAAGAAGAGGTCGCCCGGACCAAATTTTTCCCTAGCGTCGCAGGTTTGTTTTAGGGCGGGGGTTAAATACGCCGCAGATTTGTGGACTTGCGATAGTATCAGATCACTAAAAATGTCGTAAAAAAAATGGGTAAAGTAAACTGATATAAACGCATATCCGCTTCCAATTTGATTAGTTTGGTTAACGGTTATTGTGTATTTTTCCTGTTTACTAAATATTGTGTTGATAAGATACGAGTGAGGTACACTTCCTTGATCCTCCCTGATTAATGAGCGTTAGATTTGGCGTAACCGCAAGTCGAGATAACGCTGTTTTCACAACAAGTTATGTTTGGTTTTTGCTATATCCTGTGAGATATTTTCCGTCTGAAATAGTATTTTCATGAATGGAAGTGTGAGTAATGTGTTATTTCAACTATAGGAAATTCTATTCACCAAATTTTTATAAAATGTATTTTATACATCCTGCTAATTATTTAAATGTTGACATAAACAGCGCATGCGCACAAAGTGGCAGCCAATCGAAAAATGCGGTGCATTAGCCCTAATATAAAATTAGGAAAAGTGCGTCTGTATGTTTTAAAATAGAGACAGGATTCAGAATAACATGAAGCGATGCAAGTCGATGTTTTTATTTCAGTGAAAATACGAATACTAGAGTCTTTGACAAAAACCGAATATTTAAAACGTGTTAACACCGTTCGTGTAGTTGGCTAAATATTGTCATAGCGTAAAATAAACTATCAAAATAGACAAAGTCGGACCTGGACATTTTCGACCTTTGACTCTTTTTTTGCTTTTTAACAAACTCAAATATTTGCTGGATTATCCAACAATTTTGATTTTTGTCAATATTTATTTGTCACACACGATCCAAAGTTTATAGTAATTACGTCACTGAGATAGTTTTTTCGCGTATAATTTGTACTTTTAAAGCACAAGATACAATAACGAAAAGGAAGGTGGGTGGGGTTAGTTTTAGCTTTTTGTTTAGATTCCACTGTTGTTTAATAAAAAAGTCATCTAATAAAAAAGAAAAGAATAAAATTCAAAAGCAGTGGTGGGTGGAATTAGTTTTACGTTTTTTGTCTAATAATAATAATTTCACTGACAGAGTCTGGTTCAGATGATTTTCTCCATTACTATCTGATTTAGATGAAATTGACAGTCAAGATGACAATGAACAATGTTTTTATTTTTATTGCAGCTTTTGATTTGCTTTTGTATTGTTTCATTTTTCTTAATTTTTGTTTTCGTTGTTCGTTCTTCCTACACACTTAAGCATAATTAATTATTACTCTCCTATTCAAAGACCAACGCAAAGTAAAATGTATGACTTTTTTTTATGTATAATCTATAAACTTAACTCACTTGACATGTACTTAGTAAAGTTCTTATGACTTAAGCGGCTTAAGCCAAACCATCCTTATAAGTCAAACTATTGTACTGTATTGTATTGTAAAATTTGTTTGTCGCAACTTGTGATAGCCAGTTTTACAAATGCGGCTTAAGTCATAAAAGTTTTACAAGGAATATGTCAAGTGAGTTAAGTACAGGGTAACTCTAAGTATATGCACATACATATACAATTTAGCTCTTTATTTATTACCAATAATATTTTTACATAAATTATAAATACGTTATAAACTACACATTTTTTGCTGTTACAATCAACTTTAATTAATTTCTTTTTTCATTAACAGATGTAATAGGTGTGTACTTTAAGCCACTAAGAATGTCCAGACCTAATTCTACATTAATATGTAGTGTTTATTCAAAAATTAAAAACCACCACTTGTTGAATTAAGTTGGTACCAAATGAAACTCCTCTTATTTTGATATTGGCAAGTTGGTAGTACTTCAATTTGAAATTTCGTGACAAATGTCTCAATAAAATAAATAAAAACAACGTGTTTTGAATAAAAACAAATTGTGGGATACTTCCGATTGATAAATTCATAAATTTTTGTTTCTTCAGTTTTTCGAGTTTTCAAGTTAAAATTTTTCAATTTTCCAACTTTTGAATTCTTAAGTTTTTTATGATTTTGCAATTTTTCGATTTGTGTTTATTAAGTTTTCAGTTTTTCGATTTGCAATTTTTCGTTTCGGTTTATTATTTTCTTTATTTTTTCAATCATTCGATGTTTCAAGGTTATTTTTTCAATTTTTCCTTTCTTCAATTTTTTAATTTCCAATTTTCCCATTTTTTATTTTTCATTTTTTCCAATTTTTGATTTGCAACTTTTGATTTTGTTTTTTATTGTGTTTATTTTCACAATTTCTCGATTTTCACATGTTCCCATTTTATAATTTTTTGTTCTTTCAATTTCATTTTTTAGTTTCTTCAATACTTTGATTTGCAATTTTTCAATGTGAGTTTTTATTTTAAAATTTCTCACTTTTCTGATTTTCCAATTTTTCATTTTTTTCAATTTTTTATTTATTTGGTTTCTTCAATTTTACGATAAGAATCGGGCTTCAAGTTTTCATTTTAAAATTTTTCAGTTTTATTTTCTAACTTCTGGATGTTTTAATTTTTCGAATCTTTGATTTTTCATTTCTTCAGATTTTCGACTTTTGGTTTTGGTTTTCATTTTTTTATTTTCATAATTTTTCGTTTTTCTGTTGGTTTTACAATTTTACTTTTCGTTTTGCAATTTTTCAATTTTTAATTTTTTTTTACTGCTTCAATTTTATAATTTTTTCAGTTTTCCGATTTTCCTGCTTTTGGGTGTTTAAGCTTTTTGATTTTGCAATTTTTCATTTCTTTAATTTTTCGATTCGGTTTTTCATTTTTTTTTTTTTAGAATTTTTCCATTTTCCAATGTTCTAAATTTATATTTTTTTGTTTTTTCAATTTCAATTTTTTCGTTTTTTCAATTTTTCAGTTTACCGATTTTCCAACATTTGGATGTTTAAATTTTTAGATTTTGCAATTTTCCGATTTGAAATTTCCAGGAGTTCCCAATTTTTTATTTATTTTGTTTCTTCAATTTTACGATAAGAATCGAGCTTCGAGTTTTCATTTTAAAATGAAATGAAGTGAAAACCGAAAATTCCTAATTGAAAAATTGTAGAAACAAAAAATTGAAGAAATTTAAAATATGGAAAATCGAAAAATTTAAACTTGAAATCTCTAAAAACTGCAAATCGAAAAATTGAACAAACAAAAAAAATTAAAAATTGAAAATCGCAAATCGAAAAATTAAACAAAGGAAAATTGAAAAAAAAATTATAAAATTGAAACATTGCCGATTGATAAATTCAGAAATTTTTGATGTTTTATAAAATAATAAAATGAAGAAAAAATATTAATAACAATATTTAATTAAAAATAAAGATACGCAGCAAATCTAAACAAAATTTTTAAAAACTACCCTCTAAGAAAAGAAAGGGCGGGTGGGTGGGGCTAGTAGCTGCTAATATAGAACTGATTTTGGCAAATAACATACATTCCAAGAAAAGAGAGGGTGGGTGGGCGGGGTGCTAAGATAAGAGCGATTTTGACAAATAACCCATCTAAGAAATCTAATTACATTATTATAAGAAAATACACTAGAGGCTCCAAAGCACTTTTAATTTTTTTCCAAACAGGGATACCTAAAACCTCAAGATTGTTTTAAATTTTTCAAAAAAAAACGGGGTCCCAAAATTCTCAAAAACTGGTCAAATTCTTCAAAAATAAAACACTAGGGATCCGTGAGATTCTTCAAACTTCTTCTAAAATAAGGTACTAGAGATTCCTGAGATTCTTTACACTCAAGATATCACATAGCAACACAAATTAGATTGATTATAACCTAACAACGAGAATAAATGTTGAGATTGGCCCGGAATAAGTTTGGTGTTTATATCCATTTTTAAAATCTCAATAAGATTTGATTTTTTACAATATGAAATGTAGGAGATACTTCCGATTGATAAATTCAGAATTTTTTGATGTTTCATAAAATAATAAAATATAGAAAAAATATTAATAACAATATTTAATTAAAAATAAAGATACACAGCAAATCTAAACAAAATTTTTAAAAACCCTACCCTCAAAGAAAAGAGAGGGCAGGTAGGTGGGGCTAGTACCTGCTAAGATAAGACTGATTTTGGCAGATGAGATATTTTCTAAGAAAAGAGAGGGTGGGTGGGCGGGGCTAGTATCTGCTAAGGTTAGAGTAATTTTGGCTAATGAGATATCTTCCAATGAAAGAAAGGGTGGGTGGAGCTAGTACCTATTAAGATAAAACAGATTTTGACAAATGAGATACCCTCTAAGAAAAGAGAGGGCGGATGGGTGGGGCTAGTACCTATTAAGAGTGATTTTGACAAATAAGCGATCTAAGAAATTCAATTAAATTATTATAAGAAAATACACTAGAGGCTCCAAAGCACTTTCAAATTCTTTCCAAACAGGGATACCTAAAACCTTGAAGATTGTTTTAAATTAAAAAAAAAAAACGGGGTTCCAAAATTCTCAAAAACTGGTCAAATTCTTCAAAAATAAAACACTAGGGGTCCGTGAGATTCTTCAAACTTCTGCAAAAATAAGACACTAGAGATTCCTGTGATTCTTTACACTCAAGATATCACATAGCAACACTAATTATGTATATTATTTGAAAATCTCAATAATATTTGATTTTTAACAATATGAAATGTGGGATACTTCCGATTGATAAATTCAGAAATTTTTTGATATTTCATAAAATAATAAAATAAAGAAAACATATTAATAAAAATATTTAATTAAAAATAAAGATACACAGCAAATCTAAGCAAAATTTTTAAAAACCCTACCTTCAAAGAAAAGAGGGGGTGGGTGGGTGGGGCTAGTAGCTGCTAAGATATAACTGATTTTGGCAGATGAGATATCCACTAAGAAAAGAGAGGGTGGGTGGGTGGGGCTAGTACCTGCTAAGATAAGACTGATTTTAAAACAGAGCTAGCTAAAAAAAATGAGGACACAAAATTCTCAAAAACTGGTCAAATTCTTCAAAAATAAAACACTAGGGGTCTGTGATATTCTTCAAACTTCTTCAAGAATAAGACACTAGAGATTCCTGAGATTCTTTACACTTCTTCAAAATAAAATACCGAGTGTTCGTGAAACTCTTTAAACTTCTTCAAAAATAAAACATCGGGTGTTCAAAAGCTCATTTAAACTTCTTGAAAAATAAAACACTAGGGGTCCCTGAGATTCTTCGAACTTCTTCAAAATTAAAACACTAAGGGTAAAAAGTCGGATACTCCCCACGTCCTTTAAATCTCTTAAAAAATAAAACACTAATTTTCCAAAAATAGAACACCAAAGTCACCCAAAATTCTTAAATAATTTACAAAAAAAAAAAACTCAATGAGCTCCCAAAATAATACACTTTCAGATTCGTAAAAAATAAAACATTCAAAGCTCAAAAGATTTTTTCAAGTTCATGCAGCAACAAAACACCAGATTTCTTTAAGGCCAGTCGCTACGTTTTCTCAGAGGAATTGTCGATCTATTTTCAGAATGTAATATCTCCGTTATGAAGAGAGTTATGGTTTTGAAATTTTAAATATATGTTGTGGGTAACTTTCTTTATATGTATAACGCAAGGGAAATTTTGTCAAAAGCAGTTTGTGATCATATTTTTCTTTTAATTTTAGTGAAATTTTTGCATAACGTATTTTTAAAAATCAATAGGTACATTATTAAAGGAAATTTCAGAACACTGTTTTCAACTTACAAAACTCCTGAAATCATACCAGATATATCGTCAATTTATTTTGTTAGAAACGATACAGATTAAAAAAGCTTGTGTCATAGAAGTTGCTAACTTTTATTTTTACTATATCTCATCTCAGTCCCAACAAATAAATTCAGAAATAGACTTCGTACGATTTCTAAACTTTTGCAAGCTGAAAACAGTGGTGCTAACCTTTTAAACGTAGGGTTTGGAAAACTGACAATTTTTGATACGTCAAACATTTTTAATTGCTTACTCGATTTTTGCAGATTTGTACCTTCGCTTTAAAATTGTTGTCAAATGGAATTTTATCAAATTATTACAAAAACAACACAACCGTATCTTTATACATTCTAACTGAAATGGGCTAGAGAAATATTAACTAAATGTTTTATTACAGTTTCGGCCAGAAAATCTTGGGCAGTATTTTTCTATCATTTAAAAAAGCACGATGTAGTCTATGCTTTATTGTCATAACGATTGACAGTTTTAAAAAATAAATTTTGACGTACGTCATCATCCACATTCCAGTCTACGTCAAAATGACAAACATGGCAAATTTGAGGTTATAAATAGGTAAAGCCTGTTTTAGAGCTTCTTATGTCACTGGAATGACAAAACTGCCCAAGATTTTGTGGCCGAAACTGGAAGAGCTTAGCGGAGAATTAATACGAGATTTTCCAGACACCCGGTATACATATTGTATACAGTACATGTTTTTTAAAAGTAGCCATAGGGATTCACGTTAACTTTTGTTAGAGTGAAAACCTAGAGATAATTTTTGAGGTGAAAGGGTTCTACTTTAATTTCCACTACCACTTTTAACAGTAAATTGTTAATTTGTGCTTTAAAAATAAAAATTATTTTGATTAAAAAATTTTGCATTGCAGTTTTTAGAAAAGAAACAGAAGGATGGAATTCAAACATAAATGAAAAAAATCAAAGACATTTTCCCTGAAATTGCGGTTTTGGTGTCAACGATCGAGAAAACCTGTGTTTAAAAAACTACTATAAGATTTTTTAATTGTGCCTTTAATGTATCCATCAGTGACCATTTCCACTATTGTGTACAGTGGTATATTGACGAATTTCACTAAAAACCAGTAATCGAACAAGTAATCAAATTTTCTAAACGTCAGATAAATCTGTTTTTACATACATGTTACAAAAAAATATCCAAATATTTTTTTTTAGAATTCCAATTTAATTTGATTTTCTTGACAGCACATGTTTGCACCCAATTTTAAAACCCGTACGGTACGCCACTGGTCAAAATGTGTTCTTCTCGTAGTATTTTTACTCTGTCGTCAAATGGGCTTTAATAAAAAATTAATAAATATGTTCAATAAAATGTGGGTTTAAATTAAAGTTAAATTTAAGAATCGAATAAAGTGTGTTGTAGAGTTGAATTTGATGTTAATTTGTTTTCAGGACGTGATGGTAGTGGGTGAGCCGTCGCTGATGGGTGGTGAATTCGGTGACGAAGACGAGAGATTGATAACGCGGCTCGAGAACACGCAGTACGACGCGGCCAACTCCCTGGACCACGACAACCACGGTTTCCACGCGGACTCGCCGATGCCGGGCTCGAACTCGTGGGGTGCGGGCGTGGGCGACCGGGGGCCGGGTGTGGGCCCGCCCCAGGGCAACACCCCCTCCAACCAGGACTCCGATAAAAAATCGCCCGCAGTGAGCCAGTGATGATAGTTCATTCGTAATAAATAACGAACATTAGAATCTCTCCGAGTCAGTATTTCCTGTTGACAGTGCGATCACGCTACTAGCCAGTGACACGTTGTTTTTCATTTTTTATTTAATTTTATATGCAAGTTTACAAAGTAAAGACTATCCAGTGCAAGAATTGACGGGAGTGAGACGGGATACGACGGACTGCGTTTAACTTGGAGTGGATTGTGACGAAGAAACTCGATTGTCGGGGTTGTGGTGGCAGCACCGGATGCGGTGCTGGCACCGCAAGCTGGATAAGGCTATTGCACCCGAAACTGTGCAATCTTACAATGGTTCCTTTTGGAACCACTCACCATAGGTACCTCTACAGAATGAATGTGGTTCTCGAATGATGCAGCTCATTTGTACAGTAGCTATAAAACATCACACTGTCTTGTTTGTCTTCTGAGTAACACAGATATTTCGAGCGGAGGCTGCGGGGGCGCGGGGGAGCGGCGGCCCCGTCGCGGGCCCAGCCGGCGAGATCTTGTTTATTTATTGGTTGATCGCGTTTCCTATATTAGCTGTGGGGTTAAGTTCCTAAAGATTTCCGAAAGCCGGCGAAACTCGCGACCAGCGTCGCGCGATCCGCGCGCGCCCGCAGGCTCGTCGACGAGCGCGAGCTCGTTTATTAGGATCAATTTTGTATAGTGAAGATAAATTTAAATTGTATAACATACTTATAAATATTATGTCCATTGAGAATATGTAACATACATCCGGTCGCGATGTATTTTATAAGAGCGTTTGAGTGAGAGAGGGTTTTAAGAAAAATTCTTTTAAACGAATGCCTGCATTTGCTGTATCGGTGTCAGAATGAGAGGTTTAATTGTAACAAGTAATTAAAAAAAAAATTAAAATTTGGGACTGCAGTATTTTTTACTAAGTCTCATTTCCAGCTGTGTAAGTGTATTTTTACAACTCTTTTGTCAGTAGTTGTGTGTGTCTTTCCTTGTTCCGGTTGTTTGGTTTATTTCCATTTTTCAATTTGTAATCTCATGTGTAACGAGACTGTACCCAGTACAGCTCCTACTGCAACCTCACAATACAACACTTACAAATATTGTCAGTTTTATTTATTTACCGATTTTTGAGGAATTTGCCGATCCTGTGCTCTCGCTAGTGAGGTTTAAAAACCATTCAATTTTCCCATTTCGTTCGCTCATTTCATTTCAAAAGGTTGGACAATCCACATGTAAAATTGAATTGTTTTTATTATACATTCAGAGAAAATTTTCAAACCAAGCAATATAAGTAGACGTTGTTTTACTGTTCTAGTAAACGAGAACGTTAACACTTTTGTATAGTCACACTGAAAAATGTCATTATTTGTAAGAAACATAATAAAACTGACATAAAAACTCTGACCAAGACATCTTCAACGACTTTTATTGCTCTGTTTTGTAGAACTTCCCATCGAAAGTAGTGCATCTCAAATAAAATCAACTGTTAAACTAGGTATCTATTAAATTTCATTGGAACTTGTAGTGTTCCTAAATACATTATTTGATGTGTTGTATTCTCCCTGTTAACGTTCGACGTGTTTTATTAAAGCTAGAAACACAATAGGTAAGTATCGTCCTAAAGTGACTCATTTAATTTGAAGGGAATATTTACACAAAAATCTAAAAATTGGTCTAAAGGGTTTAGACAGTACTTCCCTCGCTGTCGGAAACTTGACGACTGCATGCCTATTGTATTTTTTCTCATTACATTTTTGTAGTGGGAATTTAAAAAAAAATTGCGATGACGTCATCAACATTTTTGCAAGGACACGTATATCAGTTGGGATAGATGTGGTGTAATACTAAGAATAAAATTATTGTATTCCCAAATTTTCGGGAAAATGAATTGGGTCGTTTTGAATATTGATTTGTTATAATCAATAAAATAACGAAACAATTTACTCACGTATACGGCGCCGGTGAGAGGCAACTGAAAATCGTTTATGTATAAGCATTCTTAATTTAAGATGATAAGCGTAACAGCATACGTGAGAGTCAAACAGAGAAACTGTAAACAAAACGACCATCGGTTTTATTGCTTCGACTTCCGCTTATTATATAAAACATTGGGTTTTATTTTAATTTTTGACGGTGGAATTTACAATTGGTTGATTATAAACATGTCTATTCCACATTCGCGGAACCTAGTCAGCGCACAAAACAAATGCAGGTCTGTAATGTTAAAGTCGATGTAAATAAGCGTGCTACCCTTATGTTTCAACCGAGTTTTTACTTTAAAAAAATTTGTGTCTACCAAATTGGGTTGGTCCAATGTAATACTAATAATAAGTGTTGCCTTTAATTTAATCAATAAAATAAATTGACGTCATTAATTTTTTTGAGCCACCTCTTAAGAAAATCTAAAAAATATGAATGGAATGATAAATCACAAGTACAAACTCATCATATTTTTTGCATTTTAGATAGGATTTATTCAGCAAAATTTAAGGGTGACGTCATCAATTTTTTTTTGGAGGGATGAACAAATACATTTTGAACAAAAGTTTACCATGCTTATAATAACTTTAAAATATTCCCAAGATTTCAAAGCATTCGGTTTTATAATTCCTGATTAAATCGATAAAATAAATTCACGCCTTCATTAATTTTTTTGAGTCACCCTGCATATGCAAAACCAAAAATATGAATGGAATGATAAATCACAAGTACAGACTCATCATATTTTGTACATTTTAGATACGATTTATTCGGCAAACTTTTGAGCTGAAGATAACCAAATATATTTTGACTAAAAATTTATTATGCTCTTTATAACCTTAAAACATCTGCAAGATTTCAAAGCATTCGGGGTCATCAAAATTGATTGAGAGGGTTGGTACCCCCTGTTTTTGTCGTGAAGTTTGTCAACTTTATGACAGATTTGTTTAAGGTTATATGGCAATGAATTCAGTGGCGTCACAAAAATTAGAAACTTCAAATCTGACAACTAATGTTTTTACCAAAAAAAAAGTCGAAAAAAGACGCCACTGAGTTTTGAAATTTGAAACTTGAAACTTCAAATCTGACAGCTAATATTTTTAAACAACTTAATAAACCAAATTATTCAAGTTCAGGTTTACCAACTCTCTCAATCAATTTTGATGACTCTACAGGCTCATCAAAATTGATTGAGAGAGTTGGTACCCCCTGTTTTTGTCGTGAAGTTTGTCAACTTTATGACAGATTTGTTTAAGGTTATATGGCAATGAATTCAGTGGCGTGACAAAAATTAGAAACTTTAAATCTGACAACTAATGTTTTTACCAAAAAAAAAGTTGAAAAAAGACGCCACTGACTTGAAATTTGAAACTTGAAACTTCAAATCTGACAGCTACTATTTTTATACAACTTAATAAACCAAATTATTCAAGTTCAGGTTTACCAACTCTCTCAATCAATTTTGATGACTCTACATTTTGAACAAAAGTTTACTAAGCTTATAATAACTTTAAAATATCTCCAAGATTTCAAAGCATTCGGTTTTGTAATTCCTAATTAAATCGATAAAAAAAATATGAGTGGAATGATAAACCACAAGTACAGACTCATCATATTTTGTACATTTTAGATAGGATTTATTCAGCAAAATTTTGGGGTGACGTCATCAATTTTTTAGGGGGGAAGAGCAAATACATTTTGACAAAAAATTTACCATGCTTATGATAACTTTAAAACATCTCCAAGATTTCAAAGCATTCGGTTCTGTAATTCCTAATTAAATCAATAAAATAAATTGACGCATTCATTAATTTTTTTCAGTCACCCTGTATATGCAAATCGAAAAAATTTGAATGGAATGATAAATCACGAGAAGAGACTCACCATATTTTGTACATTTTAGATAGGATTTATTCAGCAAAATTTTGTGGTGACGTCATAAATTTTTTAGGAGGGACGACCAAATACATTTAGATCGAAAATTTACCATGCTTATGATAATTTTAAAACATCTTCAAGATTTCAAAGCATTCGGTTTTGCAGTTCCTGAGTAAATCAGTAAAATAAATTTTGCGCATTCATTAATTTTTTTGAGTCACCCTGTATATGCAAATCCAAAAAATGTGAATGGAATGATAAATCACAAGTACAGACGCATCATATTTTGTACATTTTAGATAGGATTTATTCGGCAAACTTTTGAGCTGACGTCATCAAGTTTTTGGAGGGGATAACCAAATATATTTTGACTAAAGATTTATGATGCTCTTTATAGCCTTAAAACATCTGCAACATTTCAAAACATTCGGATTCAAAATTAAATTGCAAAATGTTGTTTTATAATTTTGATTTTTTTTCCAAAAATCTGGACGTTTCGGGTAAAAACTGAATTCGGAGTCGTAAGCTACATGTGTAGGACTATGTTATTTTATACAATTTAAGACCCATTTACTATGTACAATTTTGAAGTGACGTCATCGCATTAGCGATGGGGATGATTAGACAAATTTTGGTTAGCATTTTACCATCTACATGATATTACTAATATAAGTACAAAATTTCACAACAATCGGTCCAGTACTTTCGGAGATTATCTGTCTAATAAAAATCCGGGACGGCAGACAGACGGAAATGGGAGACCTATTTCTTCGTATTCTAGGGGTCATGAAAGATCGAGAAAACGTAAAAGTAGAGAGTCGGCCGACGGACTCGATTACAATACTTCCTTTGCTTACGCTCGGGAAGTAAAAATAATAAACGGCATATTTATAAAGATAAAAGAAAACTGAGGACACACTTCGTGTAACACGAGACTTTTTAATGAATATTTATAGTATTTTTTGAATGAAGTGATAATTAACTTTCACGTGTCCTTTGTATACTTTTACAGTCTTTACAATAATTAATTGCGAAACTTTTCCCTAGACGCCGCTTCATCCTTTGGGGTCTAAGAAGATTATAAAGGTTGGACCCTGGAGTATAAACAACTTTCATACTTACTACTACCAAACTTTGTTTATTAACCCTTTGATGGTTAAAAAGGAAGCGTTCCTAAAAATGTTTCTTTTGTTTTAGTTTTGTGAAAACAAGGGAACGGAGACCAGTTCTGAATTGATTGTTAATATAATTTGACAAAATATTTACGATAAATACAGAGGTTATTCATAATTCAAACAAATTTTGTGTTGGCAGTTCTGCAATTTTAAATGTGTTGCCAACTTGACAAAAAAATTACAAACATTAATTATTTTGAATATATCGTTGAGAAACAAGGTAAATAAAATGGGTATAAACGTGAAGCCTTGTTTAAACGTGATGGGTATAGAAATTGTAGAATATTTTATAGTCTAAGCGAAGATGAAAAAAAATCTACTCCGCGATGAAACAAATTACCGATTCGGAACATAGTAAGCGTGGGTGAAAACTTGGCAATATGTGTTCTCGGGACTGGCAAATAAAACAGATCATAATAACGAAACAGGAAACTGCGCGAACCCGGATTAAATGTCATTTGTGATAATGTGATGGGACAATCTACACCATTTTTAACAAATTTAAATAGAAAAACCATGTAAAATTTTTCACACGTATTCAAAAAGCTAGTAAAATTATAACTATTTAATAAATCCTGCTGAGGCAAACCACTTGGAGGAAACACTCCGTCTTCCCGGTAAGACAAATACTTAAAAAAAATTCGGATTATACGTTCCAGGTTAGTCGCATAAAGTGTTTTAAGTTTGTTGTTGTCAAAATAAGTCTTCACATATTAAGAAAAAAAAAGGCAAAATTTAGCCCCGCCCACCCACATTTTGCCTTTTTGTTTTAATATGTGTAGACTTTTTTTCACAATATGAAACTTAAAATAGTTTTAAATGGAAAATTCGTATAAGGAAATATCGATTTTGCAATTAGGCTTCGCCCCATAATTGCAAAATCAATATTTCCTTGAAAAAATGTACGATTTTAACCATGTTCTAAGTTTCTTGTTGTAAAAAGATGACTAGTACTTGGTAAGATAAGACTGATTTTGGCAAATGACATACCTTCCAAGAAAATAGAGGGCGGGTGGGCGGGACTAGTACTTGCTAGGATAAGACTAATTTTAACAAAAAAAGTTACG